AGGTTTCTACATCTTGATCCACAGGCAGCAGAGGGAGACGGTGTGCCACACTAGGTGTAGTTTGGGCATAGAAGACCTCAAAAGCTACCCCCACAGTGGCACTCTGCCTCCAACAAGGCTGCACCTCCTGATAGTGACACTCCCCATGGGCCAAGCATTCAAACCCATGAGTCTGTGGAGACCATTCCTATTCAAGCCAACAGTCAGTCAACTTTTAAGTGAACCTTTATTCATACATTGCCTTATTAAGCTTCACAACATAAATATTATTTTTTTTAAAAAAAAAAAAGCAAAATAAAGACTACAGTAGAAGCTGACATAAATTCCCTTTAATGAGTTTTATTATGAGAGGGCCAACTCCACGATCAGGTGGGAATGAGAGCATTAAGCAGAAACAGTATTAACATATGGGGTTATAAACATGGTAGAGCTTTAATGGTGGGATGGGCTTTCCTTTTAAAGCTCAAAGCAGAGATTCAGTAAAAAGGAAACAGGAAAGAGCCCTGGGTTGTGTGGAAGGAGCACACATCATGAGAGAAATGGTGGGGTTAGGTCAGGGAAGCCCCACTGGAGAGTATCAGCTGTCATTCACCTCCGGACCAAATCTCCACAAGGAGCCTTAGATTGATCCCTTATTGTTTTTAACAAAATCTCAGTCGTTTGATTTTAGTAATAAAATCATTTGATTTTACAGATGTTGGAATGAAAGCCTGCTACCTCAGAGAGGCAGAGAGTGTGCCCAGCTGACCTTCCAACTCAGCCGAAGTCTCCAAACAATGCACCTTTCCCACAGCCTCTCAAAAACAAAACAAAAAGAAACAACAACAAAAACCCTCAAATTGACTCTCCCCTCACTCTACCTTCTGTGGGTCTCTCTGTCTGTACTCCCGAATTACTCTTCCTCTCTATGTTCTCTCTCTGTCAACTGGTTGCTTGCTCTGCCTCTTGACCTGTCATTGACTTTACCTAAATCCAGCAGAAAGCTCTTGGATTAAAGCTATGTGCTAGGACTAAGCCACACCACAACTAGAAACAGGTTTTTCCAGCAAATATCACAATCTCAGGGTTCACGGTATGATCAAATATCCTGCAACAATTCCCAGAACAAAGCAAAATTCTGACTTTTTGCAAAGTTTTGGAGGGGGCGAGAAACTTCATATGATTTAGTACATCATAGAGCACGTGGCAAAACACGGAGGAGCCAGGTACCATGAACTGAAAGCTGTCACGTCACAGCACAGAATGCTCCTTAAATCTCTTCCAGAGAGTGCTGCACAGAGGAGTAGCCTGATTTAGGCCTTGGTATCAGGCCTACAGGTGCAGGCTTGTGTTTTAGCACTAAACCCCCCCCCCCCCCCCCATTTCACAGAACTTGGAAACAAGATGTCCAGGACCCTCAAAGGATGAGGCTTTTGATCTGGGTCTGTCCCTGAAGCCTGTGATCCTTGGTTGTTTTTCTTCTTTAATTTTTTGAGATAGGATCTTTCTGTGTAATCCAGAGTAGCCTTGAGTTATTATGTCACCCAAGTTTTTATTGCACACCATCCTCCTGCCTCAGTCTCCTGGTTGCTGAGATTACAGGTAGGTATAGCCATGGTCATCTTGTTCTTTTTTTAAAAAATTTATTTATTTATATATTATGTATACAGTGTTCTGCCTGCATATACACCTGCACACCAGATTTCATTATAGATAGTAGTGAGCCACCATGTGGTTGCTGGGAATTGAACTCAGGACCTCTGGAAGAACAGCCAGTGCTCTTAATCTCTGAGCCATCTCTCCAGCCCCACCCCTCATCTTGTTCTTTATCAGTGGAGTTGAATGATTTTCTTTTTCCAGTTAGACCTTTTTCCAGGACCAGAAATAAACACTTTCTATCACATATGCCTTTTGAAGAATTTTTCTTTCTGGTTGGTATATTCCAGTTTTCAGTTGTGTATCCCTATGATTGCAACCGTTTCTTTTTACAAGCATCTTCTATGTTGTCCTTTCCCAGGTATGATGGGAAAGAGACTCTTCGTTTGGTTTCAGATTAGTGTTCCTGGAAATGCCCTATCTGGCATTGTGACTACCTCATTTAATAGGCTGTCCAAAAGATATTGTCTTGTTCTTCCATCTCAGTGAAATGGTTGAGCCTGGGGAAACTCGGAAAAGTAGCATGTACGGTGTGCAAGGCTGTCTGACCATCTTCACATCTGGGTACTGAGAGAAAACCACACATGCAAATCAGGCTGTTCACAGGTGCCACAACTGGGACATCAAGCTATTCTGGAGCACAAGGGACACTCAAAGGGTGGGATAGTTAGTTTTATGTCAACTTAACACAAGCTAGAGTTATCTGAAAGTTATTTAAAAAAAGGGCCTCCATAGGCATATTCTTAAATCGTGGTTGACCCAGCCCATTGTGGGTGGTGCCATCTCGGGGCTGGGGGTCCTGGATCTATAAGAAAGCAGGCTGAGCAAGCCATGATGAGCAAGCCAATAAGCAGCATCCCTCGGGACCTCTGCATCAGCTCCTGCCTCCAGGTTCCTGCCCTGCTGAGCTCCTGTCCTGACTTCCTTCAATGATGCACAGCAATACAGAAATGGAGTTCCTCCCCATCTCGATTTTTTGATCGTGGTGTTTTGTTGCAGCAATAGAAACCCTAACTAAAACAAAGGGTCAGTATACCCCTCCGTCTGCACATCTTCGCTTGCAAACATTCATTGCAATGGTTCATTGGTCTGGTTCAAGGCCTCTGGCTTCTGTGACACCATCAATATTGTGTCCTCGATGGAACTCCTCCTCAGTATCCCGTGGTTGCCTTGTGTCATGGAGATCATGAGCTTTGGTTCAGCAGGACAAGCCCTTTTACATGTCCCAACAGTTCAGTGAGGGTCGAGGTCCTGCACAGCTCCTGGACATCCCCATGGTCTTCAGTGTTAATATGAGCTACAGACATTAACACTGACCCTGACGCTGCCTAGCCACGGACACAGGTGTGGCCTTCAGTGGGAGCATGGGCTGTGAATTCACCATGGCCTCCAGTGGCTTTCTCACAACAGGCTATCCCTCCATTTCCTCGTCTCCAGTTCCATCTTCCTTCACAATGTTCAGACTGTTCTGATTCCCCTTCTCTACCATGCTCAGCACATACTTGCACAATGTAGTGGCGCCACTGCAGGCGGGCTTCCGGCTGACCTTCTCTGTCCTCACCGCATGGCATAGCGGCTTTCAGGTCTCCAGCTATCTACTGCCGGCCCGTGTGGCATGGTAGCAGGTGGGCCTGTGGACGTCTTCCCCCTTCTATACCACATGGCCTGGCGGCAGGTTGGCCTCTGGGGGTGTATACAGCCCACCCGAGCTGTCCAGTGACAGGCAGAGTGACCGTCTGCAGCCAGTGCATGCTGTGTGGTAGTGGGCAGGTCTCTGAGAATCTTTCCCTGCCAGAGCCAACGCAGCACGGCATGGTGGTGTGCAGGTCTCTGGATATCTCCTGATTTGAATTTTAACCTGCACGGCCATCAGCACGGCCCTGGGATCCTGTGATGACCGCCTTGTCACTGGCCTCAGCACACTAGCCAGAGGTCCAAGCCCCAGGCAAGTTAGGATGCTTTCTTATCTAATGACCTTTTTACGGTACTGATGCCATCCTGTTCACTTTCTTAGGGCTGTTAGGGGTGGGGCTGGGAGGTAGTACGGCACCATTACTAAAGTCATACAGTAGAGAGGGTGGAACTGTTGAAGGTTGCTCAAGGCCACACAGTGTGAGACGGGTTTATAATGCCATTTCCTTGGGTACCACAGCTTGCTTCCTGAAGGGGCCTTTGGGAAAGAGGACCCAGAAGAGCGCCCCAGGATTGATCCCAGAACATCTCATCATCTGAAGATGCTGGCAGAAGGCAAGGACAACAAAAATAGCACCCACTCTCGATGCATTCGTACTCCTTTCTGTTTTCCAAAAACCTTGAATACAGTTGGTTTTCCACCGCTGACACTTCTGCCCACCTTATTCAGGGGGGTATTTACCTAAGTCTTAGGTCTCTTTTCTTTTGCTTCTGAGAAATATCTCTGCTGCCTAATGGGTAGCAGCAGGATGTGATGCTGAACAGCCCATGATGCACAGGGGAGGCCCTCACAAGAATTATGTGACAGTTGTTATGGCAGTGCACACCTGCAGTCCTGGTGTCCCAGAGGCTGAGGTAGGAGTCAAGCTTGAGGCTACCCTGGGCTACATGGCTAGTTCCGGGCCAGCCTGGATTATATAACAATACACTTCTTAATTTTTTTTTTTCTGCTAAAAATGTCAGTGCTGTAGAGGCCGAGAAACTTTGTTTGAGTGGGTGGAAACGATGATCTTCATTTTACAGACCAGGAGCCAGGAGCTTCCTGATGCTCATACTTGCTCTCACAGCTTGGAAACCCATGATCTTTCACCATGACGTAGTGGTGAGAACAGGATTAAGAGCCAGGGCACACACTGATGCTCACTGGGTAATTACTGAGATGTTCACTGAGTGAGCAGAGGTGTGAGGAGAGGGAAATGTGAAGGATGAGTGCTCTGTTGCTGTTCTGACAGATGTTCTTGCTTTTGGTCCACAATTTGACAGCGACAACAGAGAAACCCACACGAAGGTAGGTGGTCTCTGGAACCTCCGCTCAGTTTCCAGAGGGGTCCAGATTCCAGAGACTGGTCCTCCAAAAGGAAGAAGTTCCAGAAGTCTACCATCCTCCATCACCTTTCCTGAGGAACACAGAGACTGAGGCAAATGAATCTGGGTTACCATTTCCCTCTCGGTATCACAGGCCCAGGCCAGCTATGGCTCCAGCAGAACAAGAGGGGAGTCGAGACTCAGTTTCTATTTTTTATTTTTCTGTTTTGTTTTTGGTGATCTGAGCTGAATTGAGTTGATTCTGGTCAGTCCTGAATCTTCTAATAGGGAACGGATGAAAGGAAAGGGGAGGAGCCCATGATTAAACAGACCGTTTCTTCTCACTTCCCCATTTGGACTCCAGAACTTGTGTGTTCTCTGGTTAGAAGCCGCCAAGCCTGGAGAGAAGCTTGTGCCTGCAGCTGACCTGCTTCGAGGATGACGCGAATTTCATTGTTCCTACCTCTCCTCAGGGAGAGCAATCAGACTGCCTACATGCCCTCCCGGATTTGGTGCCATATGCTGCTGTGGACAGCTGTGCTGAGTAAGTCAGATCCTCCGGAAGGGAGGCAGGGGTAAGGACACCTGGGTTTGGGTTGGGCTTGTGTAGGGATGAACGAGATGCAGGAAGCATGTCAGCACATTCAAGACTAAGGAGCAGGCTAACAATTAAACTGTAACGCTCTGGCTGGCCTTGGAAAATCGAAGCTGGCAGGAATCTTTGCTGTGACTTGTTTTCCTGTCACTTGGTACCCAGGTCCCTGATGCACTATCTGCTTCCCCATTAGAACCTACTGTCACTCCGCTTCCAGGACACTGCTGCCCTCTCCATCAGAACCTTCCCTGATCGAAATCTAGTGTGCTAGACTTGAGCAAAAAATTAAAGGACGAGTTTCTCTTTGAATTTGTGATTCACACAGGACCAAATCTTAGGCATGATGTGTAGTACGGCTTTAGACATGGGTTGGGGGGAATGCATGCATTTGAGGGGGTATCAGAGGATATTTTCTGTGCCCGTGAAGCCATTCTATCCATCAGAAGAAGCTCCACACCCCTTTAATCTGAGAGGAGAGGCATAGGAAGGTCTGGGTTGTCCTGGGAACTTGGATTCAGAGTATCACAAACCTGGGAAAATCTGGAGTTGTCAATTGTGAGGCCAGCGGATTCTCTCATGCCTCTTTCATTGCATCAGCCTTGCAAGACCCTTGGCCTTGGCGCTGCTTAGTAAGAAAGTTAGGGTCAGGGGCTTAGACTGCGATGGAGGAAGGTTTTCTGGTCCTGGTCTCATCTGTGGGCCAAAGGACAGAAACTGATGGGGCTAGGGGTTAGAAGAGTCTGGGTAAAAGCAGGAAAGGGAGTCTTATTGCAGGACCACCTTGTAAGTTCATTTCCTGGGGTGCCTACCCATACTTCTGAGAAGAAGGCATACAGCCATCCACCCTCCCCACCTCCAAGTTATGTGCAGTGATTCATAATGAAATCTGGTCTGGGCCAAGGGACCTCAGCTCTCAGTGCTGGGTAGGATGTGGCTACCAGGGAGACAGGTATAAAAGATAGACTATGACTATTTCCCAACAAGTATATATATTAAAGTGACACCCCCATAGGTTGGTTTTCACACAGGAAGGCTCAGTCCTAGAGAGGAAATATGCTTTTCTGCTTGTGAGGTACAGCAGTCAATCACTTGATGAAGACCCGAAAGGATGGCATTTTCTTCCTTTTTTTTTTTTTTTTTGGTTAATCTCCATTTTTTCACCATTCTTTTCTGGGGCTCCACACTCAGAACTTCATCACTTGCTTCAACTTTGTAACACCCTCTGACGATGTCTTGGTTGCTCCTGACTTCGATCCTGCGTGCTTACAGAATCTTCCAGTACAGCTATGGGGAGGCAAAGCGCTATCTAAGTGCTCTCGGAGCTGGCCCATTGTCTCCTCCTTATCATGTTCCCATTTCACCCCAATGGATCTTCCTCAGCCAGGCACTGGGGACACCACACTTGGCTCTTACTACCTGTGTTTCTGCTGATTCTTAAAGTTCTTTGTGCCAGACACTGTTCTGGGTTTGGGGTCATATCAGTGAACAAAACAGGCAGTTTTCCTGACCTAAACTACAAGGTATTTGTCTTCCTTACAAAGAGTACATTAGACATGAACATAGTTTTCACCATTGTCTGTTGGCTATAGAATGAATGCACAAATGATGGCCTCTCCCTTCTGCATCTCTTTGCTTTTTTTCCCCTCTTTTTTCATGCACTGTACTATTCTCCTTGCCAATCCTAGATGCTCAAAAGTTTTAGCTATTACTTCTGTGTCACTAGCTCCCAAAATTATTTGTTTTTCCTTCCTCTGTATACTTTAATTTCCCTGCCTGTTGACTAGACATCTATAAATACATTGTCAGCTCAGGAACAAATTTATATTCAAAATGCAATGTAGCATCATTTCCTTACAAATTTTCTTATCTTTCCAATATTTCTATTCACGTGAGCAAAGCCACCTTTTCCCTCATCATCCACTTTTATCATCCTATGTCTCATTAACTGCCAATTTTTACAGTGTTGCCTTTTAAGTTTCTCTTACCTGTGTGTCTTCTTTACTTCCTATTGTCAATGTAGATGAACAAGCAAAGTGATAGGGGAATATAGCCACATTTGATGGAGTCAAATGGTAAATAAGTTAAAGATCCACCTGTGGAATTTGGGAAGTAGAGGCAGGAAGAACTGGAGTTCAAGGCCAACATGGGCTACAATACAAGTTTGCAGCTATCCTAGGCTACCTGAGACCTTGTCTCAATATCAACAACAATAAAAAGGCAAAGGAACTGGCAATGAGGTGATGATAATGATATGTGTGTGTGTGTGTGTGTGTGTGTGTGTGTGTGTGTGTACTTGGAGGTAGACAGTGGTGAGATAGAAGTAGTGGTCAGGTGATCGTAGATGCTGTACTTGAGCAAATGGAAGGAATAAAAGAGGCAAGGGAGGATTGTGACCAAAGCCTCGAACATCTGATTTTGTGGTTTTTGAAGTTCTTGTGTTTTGGAGGGAGGATAACAAGGCCATCTTGGGGTATAAGATGGGCCTGTGTGGCTAAACCGTACAAGAGAAAATTCACTACAGATGAGTAGGTCAAGAAATGAAGAAGCCAGGTGTTGCACAAGCGTGCATTCTAGGCGACGGTCAGCCATCTTTTCCTTACCAATCTCTGACACTTCCTCTTTCCCAATTACTCTGACTCAGCACTTTCAGCTCCAAAATGAACATCTCTTGTTTACTGAGCTAAACAGTAAACTTTGAAAATTTGCCTATGATCATTTAAAAGGTACCCACATGGTTCACGTGGAGCCACACAGATGCCTTATGTAGATTAACACTTAATCCTTACGACAGTTTAAGGCACAGGTGTTGCGGTCATCATTTCCATTTATAAGCACGGGAATCAAAGTAGAGAAAAGTAAAGTGACCTCTGCAAGGTCATGGTGCATCAGCTGCATTAATGACTTTTCTCATTACTCTGACAGAACAGCAGGAAAAAGCATCTTTGGAAAGGGTTTATTTTGGCCTATCATTGGAGCACATGGTGGCGAGAAGGCCTGGTGACAGGCTTCTTGGCTGGCCACCTCCCACCCACACTGAGGAAACAGAGAGAGATGAAGGCTAGTACACAGCTGGGTTCCTCCTTTTCTCTTGTTTTCGTTCAGGCTGGGACCCCAGCCCATTGCATGGTGACACTCAGATTCAGGGTGGGCCTTAGCATTTTAGTTCAACTTTTCCAGAAACTCCCTTTAAGACACAAGGAAGGATCTTTCCATGGCGAGTCTAATCTAGTCAAGCTGGTAATGAAGCTAACTATTGCAGGGGTGAAGTCAACATATTGAGTTCGGTGTTCTTGCTGCCGTCCCACTTGGCATTCACTGTCCTCCAGAATATGGCAAACACCTCCATTTTCAGCTTTGCTCCTCGTTATTGTGGGTGTCTTTTAACAAACCCAAGCAGAGGCCAGGCTGCTGCTTGCTGAGAGTGTTGGCAAGTATCCGTCAATCTTTCTTGGGGAATATTCCTTCACTGTTGGTCACAATTATGGAGTAGCTGAAGCCGCATGACGAATACTTTCTCACTTTTCCTCCTAGACTAAGCCCAGCCAAATACAAAGCTCTAGCATGACTTCCTCCTCTGAACCTCTGTCGCATTTGTCCATACTCTTCCGATGGCATTGAGAATGTCTCTTTTATAAGATGTGGTGGCGCAGCTCTAGGGATGCAGAGCCGGGTAGATCTCGCTGAGCTGAAGGCCAGCCTGGCTTATATAGTGAGGGCTAGGCCAGTTGGGGTTACATAATGAGACTATGTCAAGGCCAAAAGTCTTTTTAAGATTGTATTGCACACATGTTTATTCTTACCAGCAGACTGTTGGCTTTGGTGGGGAGATCAGAGACTTTTCCTTTAGGTACACTCAGTATGAATGTCAGGGCAGGAGGCGATCAGTGCAGTTTCTGGGATTACAGAGGGACAGGGCGATTGGTTTAAGTGTACACACCGAGCTGTGGTGACGTGGGGGTCGGAATCCAGTTTTCTAGAATTCACTTCTCTGCACTTTACCCTTTTACCCCTGAAAGTATTCAGACTTCGAAGACTTTTGACTCTTTCAGCTCATGTACAAGCGGAAGCCCCCATCACGGACAGGTGCACAAATGCACATACACACAGCACACATATTAGGCTCCAGTTTATCTCAGGACCTGCTTGACCGTCATACCCGACAGCGGCACCATGTGTCTCCATCCGTCCATTCAGCATTCCTGTCCCGTGCTTGGCTTCTACTTTCCCTCACCATATATCATTCTGTCTGCTACCACAGGACGTCACAGATGTAGTGTTCTGTTCTTTTAAGTTTTATTTTTGGTGAACGAGTGTTTTGCTTGCATGGACATATACACACCACGTGAGTGCCTGGTGCCTGAGGAGTCCGGAAGAGGATGCCAGATCCCCTTGAACTGGAGCTAGAGATGGTTGTGAGCCACCATGTGGATCCTGGGAACCAAACCCAGGTCCTCTGGAAGAGCAGCCTGTGCTCAGAAATGCTGAGCCATCTCTCTAGCCCCATGGTGTCCTTCTGCAGTTTCTTCCTCTTATCAAATTTGCCTATCAGCAAAAACCTGGAAGACCTAACTGTTAAGCAGAGGGAAGGTGAAATAAATAAACAGGAAAGCCAAATTGTAGGATAGGGTACAATCGCTAAAATGACAACATATAATACACTAAGCTATTAGATCTTGTATTGCTTAGTGAAAAATCAGGCTGGAAAACATTTTTTGGTATGGCCTCTGCTTTTTGTCTGTATACAAAGATTACACCACACACACACACACACACACACATAAACAGAGCTATTCATATATATATATTCATATATATATATTCATATATATATATTCATATATATATATATATTCAAGTGAAAATTCTAAGGACACATATACTAGTATTTTGTCTTGAGTAATTTCTATTTTTATTTCTTTCTTTAGATTTTATTAATTATTTATACAGTATTCTGTATAAATATAATACTGTATAAATATTATACAGAATTCTGCCTGCATGTGTGCCTGCACAACAGAAGAGGGCACCAGCTCTCACTATAGATGGTTGTGAGCCACCATGTGGTTGCTGGGAATTGAACTCAGGACCTTTGGAAGAACAGACAGTGCTCTTAACCTCTGAGCCTTCTCTCCAGCCCTAATTTCTATTTTTCAATAAAGATTATGGATTACCCACCCATGTAATCTGTAGTCCCTCCCCACAAAAGGAAAATGCTGCTCCCAAGATGGACCTTAGCAAAGTCTGATGCACTGAAACACAAATCATATGTTAGCTCCCACAGGGACCTTACCAGTCAAAGGTGTTCAGCCAAATGAAAGTGTCACAGCACACGTGTTACCGGGGAAGGAGCTGACATATTTTTAAAAGTATATATTGTCCAGACAGTGCCAGGGAAGAACCATGCCATGCCGTGAGGGTTGGGCTGCAGGAATGAAGGGGGGTTCTGGGTCTGGGCAGGCATGTCTCGGTGTGGAAGTCTAGGCCCTGGTTGATGTCTGCTTCCTTTCTTACAGATGTTGTTGCTGGGACACATGGTAAGTCCTTGTTTCACGTCTCCTCACTCTCCTCTGTATCACCTCCCTCTTCTCCCAATGGTCTGTCTGGAAGTTATCTGAATTACCAGCCAGCAAGCTCAGGACCAATTCAGGACCAGGAAAGGGCCATTGTTCCCAGAAGACACCTTGCCCTTCTCCTCCTTCCCTCTGTCTGGGGAGGCAGGTGATTAGAAGCCATGGCTGGATAGTCTAGCAACTCTTCCAGTTCTGTTATAGTGAGATGTGGCCAAGTAGCAGAAACAACGAGAATTCTGGTTCTCAACTGCCTTCCACTCTCTAAGTAAAACAGAGAGCTTCTAAAAAGTTGATGTCAAAGAAGCCAAGGATAAATGACCAGAGCCTTGGAAAGGTGGAGGAGAGGGTAAGGATGGAGACAAAATGGTTAGTGGGTAGAGATATGAGATGTGGGTTCTAATGTGCTGTAGCTAGAAGGGTTTCCATTTTTAGGGTTTCTGTTGCTCTGAAGAGACACCGTGACCACAGCAATTCTTATAAAGGAGAACGCTGAATTGGGGCTGGCTTACTGTTCAGGGGTTCAGTCTGTTATCGCCATGGGAAGCATGGCAGCACATGGGCAGACATGGTGTGGGAGAGGTAGCTGAAATTTCTGTATCTGGATGTGCAGGAAGACAGAGTGGTACACTGGGCCTGGCTTGAGCATCTGAAACCTCAAAGCACAACCCCAGTGACACACTTCCTCCAAAAAGGCCACACCTCTTAGGAGTGACACTCCCTATGAGTCTGTGGAGGCCGTTTTTATTCAAACCACCACAAAGGGTAATTATGGTTGCCAGTTTATTATATACTTCACAATAGCTAGCATAGAAGATTTGAACGTTCTCCATACAAACAGATGAAGTGCGAGGTGAGAGACATGCAAATCACTCTGACCATTACATGTTGTGTGCATGTACTGAAGTGTCATACTGGACCCTGCAAATATGTACAGTTATTATGCATCAAAGATTTTCAAAGCTTTATTAAGTTAAAAAACAAAAACAACAGCACATGCCTTTAATCCCAGCATTCAGGAGGCAGAGGTAGGTGGTCCTCTGATTTTTGAGGCCATCCTGTCTCCAGAACAAGGTCCAGAACAGCCAGGCCTACACAGAGGAACCCTGGCCCAAACAACTTAAAAAAAGCAAACAAGAAAACTCCAAAGCCCTCTCTCTTTAAATATAAAACCATACCATCTGCCTAGGCTGTCCCTTTAGTTAGGGTTTCTGTTGTTGCGACGAAACACCATGGCCATAAAGCAAGTTGAGGAGGAAAGGTTTATTTGGCTTACACTCACGTATCACAGTTCATCACTGCAGGAAGCCAGGACAAGAACACAAACAGGGCAGGAACCTGGAGGCAGGAGCTGATGCAGAGGCCATGGAGGACGTGCTGCTTACTGGCTTGCTCCTCACGGCTTGCTCAGCTTGCTTTTTTATAGAACCCAGGGCCACCTGCCCGGGGTGGCACCGCCCACAACGGGCTGGGCCCTCCCCCATCAATTACTAATTAAGAAAACACCCTACAGACGGATCTTATAGAGGCATTTTCTCAACTGGGATTCCCTCCTTTCAGAGGACGCTAGTTTGTATGTCAAGTTGACCAAAGACCAGCCACCACAGAGCTCCAACGTCTGTTCTTCTGACGTAGCGAGCCATCTGCATGCAGGGAAGCAAGTGACAGGAAGGAAGGAGGGAGGGAGGGAGAAGAGAAAAACGTATATCTTGGAGAGAGATATGTATTTCTGGGGTGTCGCCTTTGGCCTCTCCTGCCTCTCTCTTGCTCCATCCTGCTGAGGATCAGTTGCATTCCTCAGAGTTCCCTGGGGCTCCTGGGATGGAATAAATAGAAGGATTAAGTGGAAGAAGCTTTCTGGGCCTGGTCCCACCCTTGGTAGGGTTTTCACCTGAGACTCTGGGGCCTGCTTGGGCTCTTGGGGCTCCCTTGCCTCACACTGCCTTCTCGCTCCAAAATTCAGCGGATCTTCCCAAGGCTGTGGTGAAACTTGAGCCCCCGTGGATCCGGGTGCTCAAGGGAGACCTTGTGACGCTGAAGTGCGAAGGGTCCCACAACCCCGGGAACTCTTCCACCCAGTGGCTCCACAATGGGAGGTCCATCCCGAGCCAGGTCCAGCCCAGCTACACGTTCACAGCCACGGTCAATGACAGCGGAGAATACCGGTGCCGGATGGAGCAGAGCGGCCTCAGCGACCCTGTACATCTGGACGTGATTTCCGGTGAGTAGAGCCGGGCCCAGGGAGCAGCCGGGATACCCGGAAGTTGGGGTAGGGTGGAGTGGGTCCGCTTACTGAAAGGTTTGCAGGAAAAGGGGTGGGCTGGTTTCTGGGAAGCAGCACTGCAAAGGGCTTCTGTCCACTCATTTCCCTTTTTACCAGCCCTTGTAACTTAGTGTGCGTTTGCAGGGCATGAGAATTCCTGAGAAAGTCCTCAGAACGTGTGAATAGCTGTTGGCTGCGGTAGTCCTGATTGAGCAAGAGAAGTTCAAGGACAAGGGCAGACAACTAAATGCGACAGAAAAAGGAAGTCCCTATTTCATAGAAACCCTTCTGTTTCATGACACCCAGCAAAAGGCCAATAGCCTGCAAGTGAATCCAAGCCCAGGGAAGGAACATCTATAGAAATAGAATTAATTTTATTTAACCTTGAATTCAGCTTTCTCGTCTGTTCAGCTGAGGGTGCTAATGCCTCTTTCTGGAGGTGCTGGGCATTTTCCTGACCTCTTGCCCTCGCAGTCCTTGCCTTTCTCTTTCTTCCATCAGCGTGTAGGCACTTGAGGTAAAAAGCTGTGTCTCCTCCATCTCTGTATTTGCAGTATCTGAAACAGGGCAGGGCTTATTAAATCTGTACTGAGCAGATCAACGATTTTACAAGGCTCCTGGCAAGAGGTAGGTTTTCCCCTCATAGAAAAGCCACCAGGCAACTGCATTGATGATGACTGTCTCTGTCCCTCTTCACTTAATTCCCTCCTATCACCTGATCCCAGTTTTTTCCTCAAAAAAGTGTACACACAGCAAGCTAATACTGTAGTTCTACATTTATTACTAGTCATTAAGGAAACCAACATTGTTGGAGGTTCAAGATGTTTTATTATCCCCCAAACAGAAGACTCTGCTGTAACCGCTTCATATTTGTCTCCTCAGTCAGACTGGATTCCTTTCCTCCTGGGAAGGCATTGCACCCCAACTCTTTTGTTCTAAGGGATGGGACTGGGCAGCAGCTGCCTCTTCTCAGGAGAGGAAGGGAAATAGAAATGTATCTTGGATAGTTGTTATGCACCAACAACCACAGCAGCTACAAAAACTGACCATGCCCATTTTCCCAGATGAGAAAAGTGAGGCCCAGAAGAGTTATATTACTTTACAAATGAATGGAGCTAGAGCCAGAGAACTAGATTGCCTAATGCAGGCAAGTCGGTGGTGGTGGTGCGCGCCTTTAGTCCCAGAATTTAAGAGGCAGAAGCAAGCGGTTCTCTGAAAGCTCAAGGCCAGCCTGGTCAACAAAGAGAGTTTCGGGACAGTCAGTGCTGCACAGAAAAACCCTGTCTTTAAAAAGCAAAACAAACAAACAAAAACGAAAACCAATCAACCAACCAACCAACCAAACAAACAAAAAGATTGTCTGATGTTAAACTAAAGTTCTTTCCCTTAGCATATCATATTCTTCCAAGAACAGTGACCTGGGTCTTTGAGCAGAGCCAGGTCCTCTGAATTCTATGGTCCTTTTATGTCTTTCAGACTGGCTGCTTCTCCAGACTCCTCAACTGGTGTTTGAGGAAGGTGAAACCATCGTGTTAAGGTGCCACAGCTGGTTGAACAAACGCCTGAACAAGATTACATTCTTCCAGAATGAAAAAGCTGTGAGATTTCATCATAACAACGATACGTTCTCCATCTTAAAAGCCAACCACAGTCACAGTGGCGACTACTACTGCAAAGGATTTCTAGGAAGGCGATATCAGTCGTCCAAGCCTGTGACCATCACTGTCCAAGGTATGCGGGCTCTGTCAAGATGTTGGCAAGGGAGAAGAGACAGACAAAGGCAAACGTTGGATAGCTCCACCTGGACATCTAGGAATGAATGCCACAGCAACAAAAATGAGGCCAAGTAGCGAGTTGTGAAGGCTTTGTTGAATAACGGCAAGTGGGCTCAGCCCAGAGCTCTTCGCTCGCAGGTGGGGGGTGACAAGGCTGTCTGGCAGCAGCGAAACAGAACCTTGTCCTTGTGCACAGGCTCACCACGCTCCTAGACAGTCCCGAGAGTTGGAGTTTACTTTCTTCATGTACCTTATGTAATAGCCATTCGTGTAATAGCCTGGCATGTTCATAGCAGGGTACCCCCAATTCTGAGAAGCTTCAGCTCCGCCCCCCCCCCCCCCGCCGCCTCTGAGAGCTTTCCCTTCTGCTACTGCATCGCCGCCAGTGTGCCTTCATTGGTTTGGTGGAAACACTTAGTTATTGGGGAGGTATAAGTCTGTCCACAGAAACCTTTGCAGATGAGGTTACACCAATGAGCGAGCGACCCGGACACAGCAACTCTAGGTGACAAACTCTGGGCATATAGCAATGGAGGAGGAGGAGGGGGTGGATTCACAGAGAATACTTATTGCCTGTCACCGTATCTGTCTTCTCCAGGGCCCAAATCCAGCGGTTCTTTACCAGTATTGACAATCATAGCGGCTGTCACAGGAATTGCTCTCGCAGCCATTGTCATTATCATAGTATCCTTGATCTATCTCAAGAAAAAAAAGGCTCCAGGTTGGTGGCTCTCTTTGGTTCCTCTTATTATCAGTTAGCTGGGGTTATCGAGGGGTTGGAGACTCATTTACTTTTGATCTAGTCTCATCATTTTCGTTCGTCCACTTACAAATTCATCTGTTAAACAAGGCTTAAACAAACTAGATGATGCGCCGTGAACTGTGCTGGACACTGTCATGTCTGGCTCCATTTCTACCCTCAGCCCCAGCACTGTGAGGAATACAGACGCACACGTGGACACTTATAAGAAGGGATTAGAGTAATGAAACGATAGAGACGTGACTCTGAACTGTAGGTCGTAGCACATTTCGGTATTCCCAGGACAGGAAGGCAAAGCGGATGAAAGTCTGAAGCCATGAGCAGTGAGATGACTCAGTGGGTACAGGTGCTTGCAGTCCAAGCCTGGTGATCGAGTTCTAGCTCTGGTTCCCAAGTTAAGGTGGAAAGGGAGAACTGATCCCACGATGGTGTCCTCTGACCTTCATAGATGTGCTGCGGTGTAACTCCCCTCCACCACCCCCACCACCGTCACACACGCACAACAACAAATAAGTTAAAAGATTTTATCTCAGTGAGTCTGAAGTTAGCCCCGGCTGAAGGATGTTTAAAGCCAGCCTGTGCTGTGCAGAAAGACCCTTCTTAAATTTAAAAAAGAGAGACGATTCCGTGACCTCATGTGTTTGTCAGCTTTCTGTCACTGAACAAGGTACTTCAGATAATCCGCTTATGAAGAGAAAAAGTTGCTAGGCATGATAGTAAATAGTTCATATTTAGGAGGCCAAATTCAAGAGCCTATCTTAAAATAAATAGCTAAATAAACTGAAAGGTTTATTTTAGCATGGCTTTATAGGACTTGGTCTGTTTTTTTTTTTTTTTTGCCCTGTTTCTTTGGGCCTTTGACAAGCTATAATCACAGGAGACACATACAACAGAATAAAACTGCAAAGGGATCAAGGAGGACATTGGGAACCCCATAATCTTCAAGAGCATGTTCCTGATGACCTAAAGACTTCCAGCTAGGCCCATTAAAGTTCCTGCTTCCTCCCGATAATTCCCCCTGGTGACCAACCACATGAGATTTTAATGGACATTCTACATCCAAACAGTGGCAGGCAGCCTGGCTGGGGCAGCTGGAGACATGTAATACTGAGTAAGTTACTCAACCTCTGCTCCTCAGCTTACTTGTCTGGAAAATGAAAAGCACTACAGGACCCATCTTACAGGAAAGAGTATTATGACAATGAGCACGCCAAAGCCTTTGTACCAGAGCCCGGCAGACAGTAAAGAACACATAGGTAGGAGACAGAGAGATGGCTCGGTAGGACCCAGGCTCAATTCTCAGCTCCCACATGGCAGCTCACAACTGTCTGTAACAGTTCCAGGGGACTCAGCACCCTCACACAGTCACACATGCAGGGGAAAACACCAATTCCCATAAAATAAAAATAAATAAATAATTTTTAAAAAGAGTATAGCAGTATAAACTGTCTCCACAGTGGAGAAGGGTAAATCTGGAGATAGCCATTAGCTAGGAAAGGTGGAAGAGTATTATTCTAGGAACTGTGGCCAAGGCGTGGAAATGAGGAATATTGTGGACAGGTCAATGGAAGTCATTGAGAAGGGGGAAATACTGCTACTACCTAATACCTAATACCTCACAACACTCTTCACAGTTGGCTCATGGGAATTCAGTTATGGATGCTAAGTAAATATTGAGAGATGCAGAGAGAAAGGTAACACCTTTTTTTTTTTTTTTTCTTCGAGGCAGGGTCTCGCAGTATAACCCTGGGTGGTCTGGAACTCACTGTGTTGACCAGGCTGGCCTACAGAGATCCTCTTGCCTCTGTTTCCTGAGTGCTGGGATTAAAGACATGCTTCATCATACCCAACCAAAAGACCACACCTTTAAAAGGCTGGGCAAGCCCAAGAATGATGTCTTTTGTGACATCCCTTGGAGTTCTCTTGGGCTCCACTATGGGCTCCGGAGTTTCCTGAGCAAAGGAGCGGGAAAATGGGGAAAAGAGGCGGTGACAGTGTGAGGGAAAGAAAGGTCTATGTTGCTTTTAACTCTGTTCTGACCCTGGTCCTTGATCCTCATATCTCAGGACTCACCCCATAATCCTACTAACTTCCTACATGCCCCTCCTAGCTCTCCCAGGAAACCCTGATCACAGGGACATGGGAGAAACCCTTCCTGAGGAGCTAGGTGAGTACACTGAGCCCACTGAGGGCTCAGTGCCGGTCAGCCCAGGGCCTCCACGTGGACTGGAGCCAGCAAGCAGCAGCTCGTGTGAGTTCAGTGGGAGCGCAGGAGAGGGAGGAGCCGTGGGAGAATGGCTGGGACTCAAATCTCTTGGGCAGTTCTGAGTCTAACTCTTGGACCTACGAAGGAACACTGGTTGCAGAGAGAGAAAGAGGGTGGGGCTGTGACTAAGATTCTAGATAAACAAGGAGTCTGGAGACATTTCCAGAGCAGGGCTGCAGAGGCATCGGGATCTTCCTGGGGAGATGTGTGACGCCAAGGGATAGGGTTAGCAGCTGTGTGACCTTGGCCAATAGGATTAAGGAGACGAAAAGAGGAGGTCTGAGGTAACCCTGGAGATTTATTTTCAGGAATGTGTTCCTGCGTAGGAGCAGGCATAGTACAGTTCAACTTTCAGTAGAATACTGAGAGGAGATTTGAGTTGAGGAAATTCTGGGGGATCAGAGCTATGCACAGGTTATACTTTGTGGGCACTAATGCCGTGGCTCTAATGCCTACTCAACACTGGTTTCTCAAACACTGGCCTGATCCTTCCACACAACGGAATCTGGAATAGGCCGCTCCCCATGGTGATTGAAGTCACTTCTCTGAGGAAGTAGGTGGGTGGGTGAGTGGTTTGGATGACCTCTGAACCTTTATAGGCCTGAGACTTGAAAGCCAGTGGCCTTTCAACCCTGGTGCAGGAGGAAGAATATAGAAGGAGCAGGAATATTTCAGGCAATTGCCTGACTGTAGTTAAAGACAGAGCATAAAGGCAAGCAGGATTTTCTCTAGGGGCTTCCATGACAGCAGAAATAGGCAGGAAAAATGAGTTCCTTAGAGATTCCACTTCAAGGGGCTGGAGTATGACTCAGAACAGAGCCAACAGATATGAGAGCTTGAGCAAAGTAGTATTCACTTAGCTTCGCTTCGAACAGGGTCCATGCTCCTCAGCCAGGCTACGTGGGATCCACATTTGGGATCAAACTAGGTCTACACCACAATGTCTAACCATAACTGGACTCACTTCCTTGTCTGGCTTTGTATAGTCTGGTATAAACACATTTCACAAGGCATTTCTGCAGCCTGGCACTGGAGCTGGTGGTTTCCCCTAAAGGCGTCATTAGCTGCTGGGATTCCTAAGAAGTGGAAAAAAGAAAAAAAAAGTGGTGGGGGAGGGATTCTGAATGTGTTGTGGGGCAGATTTTGGAACATGGCAAATAGGGGGCTCTTTGTGTCGAGGAAGCAAGTGCAGAGACTGAGGCATTGTCTTAGACTCTTCCCCCACTTCCCAAAATGCTTGTTTACAGACACTGGGGCTGCTTTTCATACTGGCAAAGGGAACCCAGGTCAAAAGCATAAAAGAATGTGGTTTTCGGGATATTTATCAGAAAAAAATTTTGTCTCTTTCTTCTCTCTCTTTCCTATCTTCCCTCTCTCCTCTGCTCCCTTTCTCGCCTCTTTTTTCTTTCTCCCTCTCCTCTCTCTTTTTCTTTTTCATGTCAGAGTACCTGTTTCTTCAGTGCTTCAACAAGAATAAACTACACTACAGCCTGTGGCAGGCACAAATCGGAACTGGATCTCACTCTGATCTAAACACTCCTCTTTCTCCCACCTCTCAGAGCTTCAAGCTGCCTGGCTTGTTGCTGGGAAAGTTGAACGATCATCTAAAAGGAATGTAGCAAGAATTTGTTTCCCTTTGCCAGCATGGCCAGTGGGGAAGGCTGGATTCCAAGATGGCCAGGGAAGGAGGCTATAATTGTGGCGCTGCTTGGCCCAACAGCCTGGGTTGGGGTTGGCAAACCTTGTCTTGGCTCTGCTTTGAGCTTTGGTTTTGCAGCCTCAATAACAGCATATTAGGCCATCTTTTCCAGCTGTACCCAAGTTGATCTTTTTTTTTTTTTTTTTTTTTTTTTAATCCACAGACAATCCTTCTGATCCCGAAGAGGTTGCCAAAACCGAGGTGAGTGAGCCCAGCCGTGTCCCCTTCCCTCTCCCTGCTCTGCTTTCCCCATGACCCCTCTGCAGCTCTTGTGGCTCATTTCTGCTTTCTCTAGGTTGAGAATTCAATCACCTATTCCCTTCTCAAGCATCCCGAAACTCTGGATGAAGAAGCGGATCCTGACTACCAGAACCACATTTAATCTCCCTTGTCTTGGTTTGGGATTGGGAAAAGAGAACCAGAGAGGCCAGGCTCTAGTGTCTCCTGGTCAAAGGGATGCTGTACATATTACTCACCTGTGTGAGTCCTGAAACCAACAGACACTACACTACTGGTCCCCAGTGGTTGACTGTACTAATAAAGACCATGACTTAACTGCTTCCCAACTCAAGACTCTTCTGCTATAGATCCACACGGCCAATGAAATTAATCAACTTATTAAGAGACTGCGGCAATGTGGGAACTGCTTATATTACAGGCTACATGTTAGGATGTCTGATCTCAGCAAGGAAAAACTAGACTTGTACCAAACATGTCAAAAAGTGATGCTTCAGGCTGCTGGAATGATAAGCAACTTTAATCTTCTTCCTTGTTTTTCTATAAAGGTCACATGTTACTTTTATAGTAAAATACTGTAAAAACAACTTTCTGTTTACTCTTTCAGGGCTGTAGTGATTGGTGTGTAGTCTGAGCTCTCTGGGGATTCTGTTGGGCTTCTGGGAGGAGGATCTTGGGGAGATGGGTTAACACTGCCCTGGGGAGACAAAAGCATCTCAGATAGGACACTCATGACAAAACAAAGCAATGATTATACCCAAATCTAGCTTGGTGCACCAATGAGTTTACTGGGCTAACTTACAGGAACATGGGTGAGGGGTTCTTTTCAGGAGTGTGGGTCACCTTGAAAGAGCAGTTGGGGATGGTTTATTTGATCTTCTTCAAACACTCAGTCCTGAGGCCTCTGCCTCCAGAGCTCCCACAGTGACAAGCATGCACTACAAGCCTCACAGCCAGCCCAGTAGGAGCAGACAGGCAATAGGGTAGAGAGCAGAGGGTGATTTGGAATAAAGGGCAAGTGCCCCTCTGCTTCACACTGACCACTTTTCCAGTGAATTTTTCTTCTTGTTTCCATGCCTCCTTCTTCTCCTTCCTCCTCTGACAAAGTAGAATAATCACTCTGTGGTTTTTCTTTGTTTCTTTGTTTGTTTGTTTTTTTGAGACAGGGTTTCTCTGTGTAGCCTTGGCTGTCCTGGACTCACTTTGCAGACAGGCTGGCTTCAAACTCACAGAGATCCACCTGCCTCTGCTCCCCCTGAGTGCTGGGATTTCAGGCTTGCGCCACCACGCCCAGCCAATCACTCTGTTATGTAACAGAAAGTTAAACTTCAGATGAATGGAAGCAGGAACTGAAAGATGGCCTTGAACTGATCTTCCTGCTTTTCTGTTTCAATTGCTGGGATTATAGGCATGTGCCAGCATACCCAGCTGCTACATGTACTTTTAAAATCAGATTACCCCAGGAATGCTAGCAGAGACTGATGTATCAACCAAGGACGGTGAAGGGAGAGGACCTAGACCCCCCTGCTCAGATGTAGCCCATGGGCACCTCAGGCTCCACGTGGGTCCCCGAGTAAGGGGAGCAGGGGCTCTCTCTGACATTAACTTAGCATGCTGGGACTACATGTTACGGGTGCAGGCATATAAGGGACAAAAGAGCAGAAGTCCTCTGATGTCCTCATTGCCCTTAATTCTGCTCACGCTCTCTCTCAAATGAATAACCGACGTTGGAGGTGTTGTGTACATTTGGATGTATATTTACTATATCATAGCTTTTAGAAAGCCTACACATGAGATACTTTACACATGATTATGTTGTTGACTCATTTTGGCGGGGTCTTTCTGGATCTCAGCCTAGCTCCAGGTTCATTGAGAGAACCCATCTCACAGGATTAAGCCGAGAAAGACAGGGCAGGACACCCAGTGTTTTCCTTTGACCCCTGCTCACCCACGCATAGGCACTCCCCCATGTGTGTGCGTACAAAAGACACATAAATAACATAAATAAATTAATAAATAAGAATAGAAAATACTCTCGCCAGAATTTCTGCTTTGAGCTCCCTGATAACCAAGACATCTTGCGTGGCTCTTAGTGGTTCAGTCCAAACACACAGAAAAATAAGGTCATTTGACACCACGGAGAATGCATCTGGAAGTTCTTGTATTACTAACGTGTACCTTTAAATAAAAGCCTTACATGTCCCAAGGAATCTAGTGCGCTTTTTCTCAGATCCTCTTTAGCAAGGCTTCTCCTGACCACCGCTATTACTTTGTTTTTATTTTCTCAGTGGTACAGTATAGGTAAATTATGTATCTTCTTGTTTATATATTCTCATATATATATGCTAAAATGTAAGCTCAATACTGTCCTTTGTTTTCATTATTCACTAATGTACTCCAGAGACCAGAACTATAATACATTAGATTGTTGAATGAATTAATGAATAAAGCTTTCCTCTCGTAGTTTCTGGTTTATTTGATAGTCTTGCATGCTAGTTAAGTGTTCTACTACCACCAAGCTACCTGCCCAGGGTGTCATTTGATATTCTTAATGCCTTGGCTTGGATTTGTTCCCCTAAAATCATGTGTTGGAGACATAACCACCAATGCAAGAGTTGGGATGTGGGGTCCCATGGGAGGCGACCAGCCCATAGGCAGTGAGCTGGTTCTGTGGGAGTGGATTCCTTCTGAAAGGATGAGTTTGGTTTCTTTTTGGCTCTGTCTCTCCTTCCTGCTCCACTTTCCCCCTTCTCAACCCATGGGACCCAGCAGGAAAGCCCTTATCAGAGTCTGGTGCCTCAGTCTTGAACTCCTCAGCCTCCAGAATCACATGTTAATAAGGAATTACCCACATCTGTGGGATTTTGTCATAGCAACCTGGAGGAGGCTTTCTGAATCTCAAAAGTTCAACAAAAGCCTACTTGTTATCTTTCCTTGAAACCTGACCAAATTTATCTAAAAATCTTAAATGGTTTAGAAAATATCTGAACTTAAATACACTTGGAAATCCTTTTTTAATTTGGTGTAAGTTAAAGACCTAACTTCATTTTTACATGTGTTGAGGTCAGTTATTCCAATGTCATTCTTGAATAAATGATTGGAAATGCTACCAGTATCATTATCAGCTCCCCAACACAAGTTTACATTTGCTTTCAGTTTCCCTTCCATCACCTTATTCCATTTGTTTTTTTTTTCCTGCCTCAATATCACACACTTGTTTATTGTAGCTCTACAGTATTTTCATATGTAGAAAGCCCAATTTTTCTCTCATTCATTTGTTTCAAGATTTTCTTGCTGCTGTTGTGCTGTTTCTCTTCCAGATGGACTTTAGAATTCCATATACCATAGGGTATTGGGAGAATTACATTGTCTATGTAGATTACTTGGGTAAGGTTGACATCTGTGTTACATTGAAACCTCTCAAGTTACAATTTTTTGTTTGTTTAGATAATTGACTTCTCCTATATCATATGGCTTTTTTTTTCCCACTAGAGCCTTAACTACCTCCCCCCCCTTCATATCACTATCACTGTGGTTAGAATTTCCTATCCTTTTCGAAGCCAATTTTGAAAACATGTTGTTGTTGTTTTTTTTTTCCTGGAAAGTCACACATTTTATTAATTGGTATGCAGCCAAATGCTGCTCCCCTCTTTTTTTTCTTTTCTTTTCTTTTCTTTTCTTTTCTTTTCTTTTCTTTTCTTTTCTTTTCTCCTTTCTTCCCACCTCCCTTTCTTTTCTTTGTCATAATCTCATGCAGCCTAGGCTGACTTCAAAATCCCTATATATAGCTGAGGATAGCCTTGATTCTCCTGTCTCCACTTCCCAATTGCTAGAATTGTAGGTGTGTGCCGACACCCAATTTATGTGATCCTCAGGATCACATTCAGGGTTTCCTGCAGCTGAGCTACACCCCAACCCAAATACAGCATCTTCTTTCTTTCTCTTTTCTTTCTTTCTTTCTTTTTTTTTTTTTTTTGTAATTTGTGTGTTTATGCTTACCCATGGACTCCTCCTCCATTCTTAACTTTTGGGTTTTTTTTTTTTTTTTTTTTGTTTTGTTTTTTAAATCAGGATGACTTGTTTGCAAATAACAGGAAATCATAGTTAAAATTAACTTAAACAATAAGGAAATCTATTATCTTCCATAACAAAAAGTTCAGAGACAAAGTGTCTCCTTGCATCAGGATTCTGAGCCCCGCCCCTCCCTTTTTTTTTTTTTTCAATCCTCTGGATATTGCACTTGAGCTAACATGAGCACATAACAATGCCAAATGTCATAACGTGGTATCTAGGAAAAAGAGGGAATTAATTTAATTATTTTTTTGATGTGTCCCCTGAGAACAAGGAAAATATTCCCAGAAGCCTTTGGTAATGCTCTTATCATATGGATCAGGACATACTGATGTAATAGCTAGCTTAATCCTTTCAAAGCAGAGTGATTGTTGACACCGAAACCCCTCATCACGGTGTCTTTGTCCATCCTAAAAGCCTTGCTAAAAACAGGTTTGCCTGTTTTTATTTTTCCTTTTTGTCCTGTGATAACTTTGATTCATTAATCAAGTATTTTGCCTTTTTCTTGCTTTCAGGCATGCTATTTTCTACTTTATTTAGATTTGCATGTTATATTACTTACTGCTAAATTTCTTATTTTCAAACAAAGCAATTGAAGGCTGTAACATTTCCTCTACTGATCTTCTGGCCATAAGCCTTTGGCTTAAACATGCATGTCTGTCAATGCTCTTTTTAAGTAATTTATCATCTTAGCCTTATTTTCTTCTTTTCCTAAGCTTTATTTTTATTTTGTGTGTGTGTGTGTGTCTGTGTGTGTGTGTGTGTGTGGTGTGTGTGTGTGTGTGTGTTTACATGCAGTACCCGAAGGAGCTGAAGTTGCAGGAGAATGTGGGCCTTCCGTGTAGATTCTGGCAATTGAACTCACATCCTCTGAAAGAGCAGCCAGTGTTCATAACAGCTCATCCCTCTCTCTAGCTCCTTTACACTCTTATTAACCAAAGCCAAGCATTTGTTGTGTTGGTTTTAAACACTGTCTTTCTTTATTGCCTACTTTATTACACAATGGCTGGCAAAGACGGCCTGACTGACTTTTCTGCATGAATATCTGTAAGTACATGTGTGAAGACAATGCTCTCACTTGAAAAAGAAATTACATTTTGCATCACTCCCACTTAAATTGAGTTGCATCACAATACAGGCGTGTCACAAGACAGTTTTGGCTTCCTTCTTTCCCTACGTCCCCTCAGTCCTGAATCCCATATGAAATCATCTTCAGCTCTTTTAACTGTGTCTTCTGAGAATCTACTTCCATATTTCCAAGCAATAGACTGTGTTGCTATCTTTGGGGCTTTTTTTTTTTCCCAAAAATAATTTCACCCACTTGATTTCCTGCTGTAGAACTTGGGTCTGGTCTTGTCCATTGTGTCTACTTGCCTCCCACTCTCCCGTCAGATGCTCTCATGTAGCCTGTCACGATTTCATGGTCACTTTTTATTCTGGAGACACTTGTCTGATTACATTTCCTTTCTTGAACAACCTTCTTCCCCGCCAGAGACTGTCAAGGCTTAATTTTTGTCACTTTCTTAGTTGAATACGTGTCTATCATTGGCTTTTTCCTAACACTGAAAAAGGAACACTGCACAAAACCTTAATACCGTTTTCCATGAGGTAAGATGCACGGCATGCTTTATTGTCTCTTTTTCTTCAACACAGTCTCCTTCTCAGCACTGATTTGGGTGTTTCATCTCTAGGGTTCTTGCTCATCTGAGTTCCTGGGACTCCTTTAGTACTAAATCCCTTTTATTCCAAATCCTGGTTTCTGTATTGGTTTATATTCTTGCCAGGCTAGAGGATGTTTTCCAGGGGCAGGGTAGGAAAAGGTGTGTGGGGGAGTATAGCAGATAATGCTGATATCTACCTCATAGTCATTCCGCTTCCCTGAGTTCATCTGCCTCGGCTGGCTGCTTCACATTTTACTGAGAACTAAACTGTGGTAGGAAACACTAGTCACCAGTAAACAGTTCCTCTGGGTAGAAAGCTCCATAAGAATTTAATTTCTCCTATACAGACTTTACAACTTCCCCCTCTCCTCAGATGCCTTCTGTCAGACAAGGTTTCATGTTGTAGCCAGGCTGCTCTAGAATTCACTATGTAGACCAGGCTGGCCTCAAAGACATGGTGATCATCCTGCTTTAGCAAACAACGGAAAGATGAACCCTCGTGGTGAGCTCCAGATACAGCCTGCCTGCCTCTGTGCTGTACCATGCAGGATGTCCATTCTGAAAAATTAACTGTGAAAGAAATGCAAGCACAGAAAGAATCATGTTAGTCCGTATCTGGCTTTTCTACCTTGTAACCCCAAAGTAGTTATGTGTGTGCTTTTCTTTCCATTTTGCTTCCTCCCTCCCTCTCTCCCATCTCCTTCCCTTCTTCCTTCTTCTTGAAAGACACACACAAACAAGCCAAGATGTGAATAACTTTGTATATTGGATACGTTTCAAAATCTTAGAAAGAGAAGGGCATCACTACAGCCTACAGCTCTGCAGTAAGCATAAAAGTGCTGCTAGAGTTGCCAGGCACAGTGGCGCACACCTGCCATCCCAGCACTCAGGGAGGCAGAGGCAGGCAGATTGCTGTGAGTTCAAGGCCAGCCTGGTCTATAAGGCAAGTCCAGGACAGCCAAGGCTACACAGAAAAAAACCCTGTCTCAAAAAAAAAAAAAAAAAAAAAAAAGTGCTGGTAGAGCCAGTAAAAAGACACCTGTCTTAAGCCTTATATCCTGGTCTCATCCCTGGGACTCATATGGTGAAAGGCAAGAAGCAACTCCCACAGTTGTCATTTGACCTCCAGTTTATACCATGGCTCACACGTGTTAGTGTCTGTACCCACATGCACAAAGAACACGTGTTTATTCACATCAGTAAGTTTGACATCTGGACAAATTCCATGACAGCTGTCTACAAACTGTTCAAGCTCGTTTATGAAATGTGCAAATGAAAGTATTAACCTCAAAGTCTTGAGACCAAATGGGTCTGAAAAAAGGGTTTACTGAACCATATATATAAACCAGTATGTACTATAAACCAGCACAGATGGTAGAAAAAAAGTTGGCAGCAGTTGAATAGTGTCTACTGGACCAGAACCCAGAACTAAGAACTTTTGAGGCAAGGTCTCCTATAGCCAGATTGGCTAAATGTTCTATGTAGCTGAGGATTACCTTGAACTCCTGATCTTTCTGTCTCCTCATTCAAATACATGCTGAGATTACATATTTACACCCCCATGCCCAATTTTAGGTGGTATTGGGTCTTGTACCCAGGGCTTCACGAATGCTAGGCAAACATTCCACCAGCCTAAGAGCGCTTCAAATAAAATTTAAAAACCAATTTTAGATTTATATTATTTTATTTATATGAGTGTTTTGCCTGCAAATATGTGTGTGTGCCTGGTGC